GACAATTTATCTAATATTCTTTTTCCTTTTAAGTTTGTGTACTTTATTCATTTCATAATGTCGTTGTTTATAAGAATCATTAGTAATAACCTATGTGCAAATATCAGTATAAATCGTGCCCTATTTGATAAGACATTTTTAATTACTTTATGTAAAACATCCTTTGTTATGAATTACCCCGCGGATATCACGAGACAATTTACAGGGACATCTTGTCAGACAATCATTGACAAAAACATCATTTCTTACATATAACTAACATTATTATCTCCTAATGTGTATTTTTAACCCTTACCTTTCTCAGATCAACACCCGTCATAGACTTGAGCATTTCAGGGATGCTGGTGGAAATATCCATCATTTCCTGAGTTAGCTTCTGAGCACCGACCTCAGATCCTCCTGAAGACACCATCTTCACACTCTTGACGTTGGACAAGGATGAGCTCACATTGCCGACGATCTATGCAAAGGAGATCGATCTTAGTTCCGTGTATATGTTTGTATGTGTGTACATATAAATACACATTTAGTGTGCGTGTGCGTGCGTGCGTGCGTGTGTGTGTGTGTGTGTGTGATTACTCCCTGTCTCCCGATCATCTATATCAATGCGGCATTGCATTATTCCATCTTTCATATCTATCTATCTATATATATATATATATATATATATATATATATATATATATATATATATATATATATATTTAAATTACCTGTGGTATTGCTTTAAGGTACAGATCCAGAATAGCAGCATTTTGGAATTCCTTGTAAGCTTCAGCTCGGTAGTGCATGCTTGCTGCCTGTGCCTTCGCTTTTGCCTGTGGATAAGAAACGTAAATGATACTGGTCATTATGAGGTTATCATACAGTTAAGCTTTTTCGTACGAGGCTGAAAATTCGTGTACTGTGCTGACATGTAACAGATAGGAACCTCGATCAAGTGACAGTAGCAGTTAAAAATTAATGGAACCTGGGGATGATTGATTAAGTCTTTTAATGGATGATATAACAAAACTACTCTGCTTGGCCCGTAAGATATCACCCATCAGTAGTGGATTCAGTAGTGCTAGCACATCAGTCTCACCACACACTGCCTTCTCCAGAACTTCCATCAATGTTGGCTGTTAACTCTAGTGAACTCGTCTTTTCATTTAACTTCTGAAGACATGAACAGTTCTCGTGTACACCCATTCAGACTTTTCTCTCATCACCACAGTGTCCTCGCAATGCTCATATGTCCTCATACGTGTCATACCTAATGCTTTAGATCATCTTATTCATGTACTAACAAGTCATGGTATATCATTCAATCTACTCCAGATCCAGGGTACTCCCGATAAAGAACGTCACCCAAAAGTACATCAAAAAATAAATAGGGTGCGGAGAAATATACATGTTAACTCAAGAGACTAAACAAACAAATGTAGGCAACAAACCATTGGCGTCTGTATCCATCTCATAACCTTGTCACTCTCAATGGTGAGCATGGAACTGGCCTCATGATATCAACGCTCTGAACTGCAGCCATAGCATCGGGTGCAGGACCTTTACACTAAAACATATATTTAAAAAAAAATGCTATGGACTTTGACACACAAACTTTTTTAACACAAGAAAAAACACCGAAACCTTTTCCTAGTGGGACCTGGTAGTTAAAACTTAACATTTATATATTTGTATCCAAACATTGCAATTTATACACTGCTTCTCAGTACCATCTTCTCTGCACATATATCTACATTCTCACATACTACTATGCTGTACCTCCAAAATTTGGTCCTGAAGTGGGGAATATAACCACAAGGGACCATAGACATTGTTATAACTAGTTAAAAATACGCCTGAGCTTCTGTTTCAGTATTGAAACATGTGTTAAACCTTATCGATTTTAATACTGCTGTTGTACAAAGTCGTACTCCTGTATAATGCTTCAAAAGTTGTCACAAACCTCAATCGCAAAGGCCTCAGCCTCTCCCTGAAGATGCTTGGATTCTGCTTGAGCTTCTGCCTCCAAGACAGTCTTCTTCCTCTGGGCTGCAGCAATGGTTTCCGCCCTTCAGATAACAAGAAGACATACACAGCATATTAGATGCAATCCAAAGACAGTTGAGTATGGAGTTCATGTCAGTGTTATTCATTACTGGAATTCATGAATAACTGCAAGTTTGTAGTGTCCTCATTCTCACCTGAATTTCTCTGCTTCAGCTGGCTGTTTCACTGTGGCTTCCAAGCGTTTCTCAGTTCGCTGTATTTCCTGTTCTTCCACATGGATCTTTCCCTGCCTCTCAACAACCTGTCATCAGGTAATACTTTTAATAATATTTCCTTCATATGAGTTTGAGTTGTAACGATAGATAACTTTCTAATATAGACACAATGTTTGAAAAATATTTTAAAAATCTCGAATTTCGATTTTAAAAATAATAACTGGGACAAAGCTGCATCTACCAAACTATAAATCTCACCCATGGGATATGTATCAGTATCTTTTCGGCAAAAT